TTTTTTTTTTTTTTTTTTTATGGTTTCCGCCGCGGATCGGGTAACACGATTGTATCTAAATAAACCTCTTTTGACAATTTAATCGATTCGTTGTAATAAGGGGATATGATGAAAAAAAGATTTCGTTTTACCTCATTAATTAATTAATGTCAATGTCCGCAAGAGGAAACGGCACTTGGCTTCAAAGCAGCTGTTAATCGATCGCGATTCCCATTCAATTCCGTAACCTTCCCCTTCTCACTTAATCTGTTTTCGTAATTAAGGACTTAAAGGCTCGCGAATAATGCTCGAAAATCGCACGACCCCGTTTACTCGATGCGGTCGGTCCCCATAAATTTTCGTTAAAGTTAATGGAAATTTAATCAATCCTCCCGTTCCAGTTCTGCGTTTAGGCAGAAACAGAAGATTTTATTAGCGTTAATTAATATTTACGGGGACGGGCGGCGTGTTCTATGATTCGATGGCGTGCGAACAATAGAATTTTCTTTCGTATTTGACTAAAGTGTTAAGCGGAACTATGCTGCAATCGTACACATATATACGTTATAATACACATGTACACAAGGTATATGTAAGCGACGCCGGGTGGGTTAGCTGTTTGCTCGCCGTATAAACCCCGACACTTCGGAAAATGTTCGTTATACGTGTGCCCTGAATCGGCTGATCAGATTCCGATAGACTTTGTACTAAATATCTAATATCCGGCGAAGCCCGGCACGCGGAGATTTACGGTATATTCTCGTGTTCCAACTCCACTGGCCGCGCCGTTACACTGCTCTCGTCGATAAGTCGCGTCGCTCTATGTAATATACGGTGTGACGTATACTAAGATGTTGACGACGGGCTTGACGGGCTCTCTCGAAGCGACAAAAGCACTCTCCTCTCTTTGTAACTGCTCGCAACTTTTTAATCTCGTGGAGAAACAATAAAGTGTTTCGAACTCCGGGGACACGAGGCGTTTACGAGGCGGCAATAATTCAGAGGTGTTTCACGTGAAAAGTACGCGGGGGCTACCGCCGCTCGAACGGTTCTGTACTCCGAGAGGAGTATTTAATTTAATAAATAATGAAGGCGAACGATATCCTCCCCCTCCACGTTGCGCGTCTCCGATTGCCCGGAAAGATTAAACCGCGCCGGATTCCTGGAGCCGGCTACGCTGCTTTCGCAGACCCGCTGTCTACCCCTACGGCGTATTGATCTCAAGGGATGATTTTTAAGACGAGTTTCGCGCCAAGTGCCACAGATGGCATCACCTTGCAGCCGACGAGAGTTCATAGAGACCCTCGAATTTATTGTACATGCTCTCGACTCGAAACGCCGCGTTTCGCGTAAACATCACGAATAAATATTTTACAAACTCGGACGTTTTCATAATTAACGACGTGCAGCATCGTTCCCCCCTCCTCCCCAACGCGTCTTATTGTGTTTCCGATTAATTACATTTGCGCATGATGTATTTACGTGCATAATTTAAGGATCATATTTTCGGTGGCATCGAGCATATTTAAGAGAGAGGGAGACAATAATCAGACATCAATATAAAAAAAAATATTTTATCGGATCGGACGAACGCGATAGCGTGACTCGAAATAAAAATTAAGAAGTATTTATCTTGTATAAAATCCTCCTCCTCCGACACTTTGCCGCGAGTTAACTCGCAACAAGTTCGTATTAACTTCATACTTACATTCCATAATAATTAATAAGAGACAGACATAAATAAGGGAACTTTCTGGACGTGGAGCGGAAACTTCTGAAAGCTCACTTTGCGGGGAGGCGTTTTTATTATCTTCTTGCGTAGCGCGATATTACGAAGTTTGGAAGGAAAGACTCCTTACTGCACGTCGCGCGATAAAAATATATGGAAACGCGAGGACTGAGATCACCGCGTGTACAAGTTTAGATATCCGTTTCGCGAATAGACAAGAATGATTCCCACGTTTGTTTCCGACCAATAATTTATGAAGCGAAATACAGATTTTCGCAATAACTCCGAGATCTCGAACGTCGAGCTCGCCGAGGTCATAACGATTTCACGATCTTCGGAAAAAGAAAAAGTATTAATAAAATATCACGCAGTTTTCTTCCGCTGTGTGCAACGCGAAGGATGCAACCGAACATCGCACTCTCGGGGGGGTTGAAGAGTTTAAACGCCACATGACGGGGAAAGGAAGGATATTCCCGAACACACTTATGCCGATCGCGCGAATGTTTGACGATTATGTCGTGTATACGCCGCCGAGGTTATTGACCAGGAAGTCGGCTTCGTCAAGGGTGGAAAGGCGGCGTCGACGACGGCAGCGGCGGTGGCGGTGGCGACGGTTCGAACGAGGGGAACGAAGAGGTAACAACCGAGTTCGCCCGCTGTTCTCTCAGAAAGGGTAGGAGTATTACAGATCTGCAATACAGTCGCCGTTCCCTTTTGCATGGCGGTTCGTTCACAACTATACATCATGTCCGTGTCTATGGCTGTGCGTATCTGTGTGTGTGTGT